CAAGCATAAAGCCCAAGACAAGAAATTATGATTTTGGATCAAAGTTAGAAGTCATGGTGAATGATGATGGAAGCACTCTTTTCATGTCAACATGTATCTGCTTCCCCTTTCCCTGTAGAAGAGGTCTAAAAGAATTACTCATAGGAGTGAATATTTGTACGAGGAAGTTATTAGAACTGTTTCCTGACATATGGGGGTAGCTTATTTGGTCTGCTGTGCATCATTAACACCTTCATAAAGTTGCTTGTATGCCATCAATTATGTAATTGCAAATTGGCATTGAAAAGATTGATACCACGAAGCCAAGCAGTATGTTAATTTCCTGCCAGATAATATTATGATAACATACATTTCTAGACTTACAATCTTTTCTTTCCAAACATAAACCTTTTTAGTACAAATGTTTTCCAAATACCCTTTAAATATGAAAATACTAAAATATATATCAATAAATTAATATTCACTATCAAAGAGTGCATAATATTATAAAAAAGTTTTTCGAAGTTTTACATCACTGCTTTTAGCAGATTTGCCTGCAAGATGATTTCCTTCCCATCTTCCTGAAGGGCAGCACAGACAGTTGTAAATAAATGGAATTATTTCTGAGTAGAATCACAAAGCTCATAGCAATGTGTACTTAACATGAAATATGAATGCCTTAGGAATTATACTTCTACTACCCTGAGGCAACGACACTCAGTTTATGCTAGAGCACTGTTAGGAGAAAAAGCGGTGTATTCTTTCATAACTTGATCCTTTAAAGTCTGTTTTTAAGACTTTTCAACATGACAGATTTTCACTAAAACAGCTTGGCAGCTCAAAAACCTTAGAACAGTGTGAGTTGCAAGCAAAAGATGGAGACGTGAAAGAAAGTACAATTTCCTTCTCCTTTGTTCAGATTGTGACACATTCTTGCAAAACACAAACTTTTCAGAAAACTAGCCATGTTCCTCTTAAACCCAAATTGTTACTCTGTCAGGGAAGTCAGTTCCATTCCTCTGAGCAGTAACTCCAGAAAGAAGAGAAAATGTAAACAGAGGAAAAACCATTACAGTCAGTTTCTTCTCTATCATGAGAACAAAAATGTATTTCATGCATTATTGTTTTGTAATACTTATTTACTGAAAATATATGGAGTCCGTTATATATCTATATTTTAAACTTCCAGTTCCATATGACCTGAAGAGGTAATGTATTTTCATAAATTCATAAACACTCCAAAACTTTTCCCCTAAACTGTTTCATTTATCTAGTATTGTGCATTGTGTATCCTTAGTGATTTCCAAGGAGCTGCTTTCAATTAACGGCTGGTATCCACAGACTAAAGGAAACATTTTTCTCTTTAGGAAAAGAAAATCAAAATAACAGAAAACTGTGTTCATCTAACACCTCAGAATACTATTATACCTGCTCAAAAATTACCAAACAATTATTTTATCTTTTCAGAGCTCAGGGTTCAGTTATTTCTTGTGTCTATTGCATACATCAGTAATCTCTATTACTGCTGTGTGTGGAATGTGTACTCAGGTGTGCACAGACAGATAAAAAATTAAAATTTCTCTTTGGTTAGGGGTTTGAAATGGCCAGTCAAGTTTGGCAAATCATGGTTGCAGGATTCGTGCCACAGCAAGAGGTTAGGCAAGTTAGGTCATGGGATTAATTTTGAGAAATCTGGTCCACTGGGGGCTGATGGGTTCCACTGTCAGGAAAGAGAACAGCATCTTTGGTAATAGGCTTGCCAAAATGGTGAAGATGGCTGCAGACTAAAGACACAGGCTGTGTGATATGTTTGACATGCTGAAGGGAAGGGATGCCATCCAGTGGGAACTTGAGAATTAGGCCTGTACTAACCCCATGAAGTTCAACAAGGCCAAGTGTAAAGTCCTGTGCATGGGTTGGAGCAATCCCAAGCACAGATACAGGCTCGGCAAAGAATGGATTGAAAGTAACCCTGAGAAGATGGACCTGGGATGTTAATGGAAAAGGAGCATGACTAGGAGGCTGGGGGAGGTGATTCTCTCCCTCTACTCATGTCACTTGACCCTTCTGGAGGACTGTGACCATCTTTGGGTTCCCCAATATAAGAAAGATGTGGAGCAAGTCCAGAGGAGGGATACCAAAGATGATCAGAGTGCTGGAGCACCTTTCCTATGTTGGGAAAGGGGTTGAGCTGGGGTTGTACCTCCTGGAGATGAGAAGGCTCTGGGAAGACTTTACAGAACTTTCCAGTACCTAAAGTGGGCTTACAAGAAAGCTGTGGGTGGACTTTTTACAAGAGCATGTAGTGATATACAAAGGGTAATTCCCTTAAGCTGAAGGATCATAGGTTGATATTAGCCATAAGGAAGAAGAAAGAAACATCTACAGGTATCTGTGAGGGTGGTAAGATACTGGCACAGGTTGCCCAGAGCAGTTCTGTATCCCTGGAAGTGTTCAAGGACAGGTTGGGTAGAACTTTGAGCAGTCTGGTCTAGTGGAAGCCTGTCTCTGACCATGGGGAGATGGGGCTTGGTACTGGATGACCTTTAAGGTCCTTTCTAATCCAAACCGCTTCATGGTTTAAGAAAATTCAAAAGCCAAGTGGCTCATAATGTGAAAGCTGCACAGCAGTTGAAGCAGAGTACCCACGCTGATGCTGGTTGGTGTCCTGGTAGCTTTGAGAGTAGGGTAAATGATCATGGAACAGGCTTGAAAAAACATCTATGCAGGCATAGCTGTAATTTAATGTTTTGGACGAGAAAATATGAAGGGACTTGGCACAGATATTTTTTTCACTTCTACCTGAGAAGTAATGAGTTCTCTTGGGATGAATTTGGGCAGAAGGGTTGGAGGAAAAGCACTGAGGAAGAAAGGGAGAAAATAACTCCTGGATTCCCTGATTATATGTCAGTGGCCAGGAAAAAGACATAGATCATAGCAAGGTTACTGAGGGAAATTCTTTGTAGTAAATTGAGACTGTGTAGTCATGGTCTGGTTTGGGGCTGTGGTAGCTTCTGTCACTCTATGGGGAACTGTCAATTTACTAGAGAATAAGTCAAACACCTTCATACTTCAAGATCCACTAAGATCTGCTGGTGACTGACAAGCTGTCAGAGCACTGAAAATCTAGGTGCCCTCTTCTGGCGTTGAACAACTTGAGAGCTGTTAGAGCTGATATTTGACATCTGGAGACAAGACTGTCTCAGAGCTGGCTGCAGATATCCACCATGACATTGATGTTTAGTTTAAATCGCTGCTTGAGAAGTTCAGGAAAGTCAAATATCAGTAGAGGATCAAATGACATACATTATCTCTTGCCAGACCCACTCCCTCAGATCCTCCAAACAAGGATATTCAAGGCTGAGCTTGTCACTCAGCAAGGACATGGCTGCTCACACCATTACCATGGATGGTACTGCACAGCCCCAGCTCACCCCAGGGAGGTGAGAGTTGTTCATCTCCAGACACACAGGGTATCCTCCCAGATCAGCCCCAGGCTGAGGCCCCACAGGTCCCAGACCCTGAAAAGCAGGGCACTGCAGGGCCACAGGCTTCTGGCAGTGATAAAAAAAACCCCAAAACATATATACCATGTTATTGTCAGTATCTGCAGTGAGTTAGTAGGTCCAACGCTCCTGCCCCACATTACTCAGTCCATCCTAGCTAGGCACCATAGCAGGGCCCCAAATGGAGCTGTTGATCAGGGGCCAGGAGAGACTGAGCTGTGAGAGGCTCCAGCAGTGCCCTCCATGAGCCACCTCATGAGCTTTGGTCCTTGGCCTTGCTCATCTCGGTGGGAAGCAATAGCACAGCTCCTACTGGAAAAGAAAAGGCACAGCTCCTGACAGAGCATCTGGTCTCTGTTGACCTAAACACCTGGGAGGAGTACAAGTGATTGATGACATACAGACGTATTAATACTCTTAAATACCTGCTGGTGGAGGGGCATATAATCTTATACCTCAAATTTAGCTTGCTGAGAGTATAGCTGTGAGCGTGAAAGTGTCAGGATCAAATATGCATTCTTCCCTCATGTTCCTGAGCTAGTTTTGTTCTATGTGGAATCATAGATGTACTGAGCCTGATCCTACTGGCTGCAGTAACTGTTCAACAGAGTGGTAATATATTGAACTAATTTATTACTTTTTCATGGCATTTGTGGCAGGAACTTAAGTAGCAATATACCATTTATAGTAATCCACATTTTAAGATGCCAGCTCAAGGAATAGAAATTTAATCAACTTTAGCACATATGGAATAGATAGCTCTACCCAGTCATTGCTGCAGTCATCAACTTCCCACTGGGAATTTCTTTCATGTTTACCTCAGAATTTGAAATGACATAAAGATGGATGAAGTATTGCAATGAATCACAGCTTAAACAACCTCAGACATGGACAGAAGGGTATGCAGCTATCCAGCTGTTTATCTTTAACTGTTTAGTGGGATTACAGGAATATGAGAACAGTGAGCTGGAACATGCCTGAGTTTAGCTAATTGTAGAAGTTAAGAGTATTTCTTGTCATTGCTGCTTGCTAGTCTGAAATGAGACACTTGTCCTTTCTGATTCTTTTGATCTGTCACATACTGTAGTTATATCTTCATGTCTTGGATTGTTTTGCTTGTTTTGCTCCCTGGACTAAGGGAGGATCATGTCTGTTATTTCTTCTTCTGCTGTCACATTCAATGTACTAAAAGTTATGTATCAATGGAAATCACATCACTCAAAGGCCTTAATACTAAAAAAAACCCAAAAACCACACATTCTTTTTATTCTGTTATTACACAGAGTGTAAAGTCCTTAAAGTCTTCAGTTCATTAATCTAGGTGTGTTTAGGAAAAAATATTGAAAAGATTAATAAATTGCACTAAATAAAACTAAGTTTATAATACATGAGTCCATGTTTCTACTCTGCTTTTGAAAGCAATTAAAAATAAAACTATGGAATTAAGTCAGTGAAGAAAATAAAACCCTCAGTGGCTTCTAGACTAAATTGTTCTTTTTTATTATTGGTTAACAATTTACAGAGAATTCAAATACAGCTAAGTTCCTTATTTTATGTCACTAGAAATGATATCTTCTGAGTTATGTTGGCAGGAACATTCCTGCAAACCTATTCACTTCAATGGACATTACAGGACTGGAACTTACAGGACACATCTGTTAGTGAAGGAAGAAATACAAAATTGAAGTTTTACTCTTTTAGGTGTATTAAAAAAAGTGGGAACAAAAAGGACTAACAATTATGCAGATGTATATTTGCTCCTGAAATCAGCAAACAGCTCTGAGTAGATACACCCAGGTATGTATAAGACAAGAATGTTTTAGGGAAACATCACCTCTCCATACTGTTTTATTAAATCTTGAATGTTCTCTTAATTGCAGTATCACAAATTATTTCCTTACTTTTAATTCTTTCATATCGGCTAATCAAATATACATGTTGCTCAGTTCCAGGGACAGAAAAGTTCCATTCATTTATATTCAGGAAGCTTCTTAGAGAAATTGCATTTCTAAGATAAAACAAAAAAAATTAAATATATATATCTAAGAACTTCTATACATTTAACTCTAAAAGCATATGGGTTTATGTCTCAAAAGACAGGTGTCTGCTAGGGAGGGCAGGAGCCTCCCTTGGAATGAAAATGTAGACTCCCTCCTTCCGAATTATTTTAATTTTGAAATCAAGGGGCTCTCAGGCCGAATCTATTTTAATTTTGAAATCAAGGGGCTCTCAGGCAGAGATCTGGTGATAGGAATAACAGTTCTTTACTAGTATTTATAACAAGGCAAACAAACAACAATAACTACAGCATTAGCAAGAAAACAGAGCCTGGGACCCCATGACAGCTTTCTCGGCTAAGACGGGAAGGGATGGAGGAGAGGCTTTGTTTCACAAACCCCTTGGGCAGTCCCGGTGCTCCTGCAGGGCTCTGAGGAACACCCAGCTGGAACAGCAGGAATGAGCTGAGATCCTGGGCCGGTGGCTGAGGTGGAACAGCAGGGATGAGCTGAGATCCTGGGCCGGTGCCTGAGGTGGATCAGCAGGGATCAGCAGGGATCCTGAGGATGGCCCTGAGGTGTATCAGCAGGGATGAGCTGAGATCCTGGGCCGGTGGCTGAGGTGGAACAGCAGGGATGAGCTGAGATCCTGGGCTGGTGCCTGAGGTGGATCAGCAGGGATGAGCTGAGATCCTGGGCCGGTGGCTGAGATGGATCAGCAGCTCCACGGCGGTGCCTGGCACTGCCACACGTCCCGGGAGGAAAGGGGGTGCGAGGCCACCAACAAAGAGGGAAGAAGGAGAAACTCTGTTGTGAGGTGCCTCAAGGAAGGCAAAGATTTAATTTTAGATAAGCACTGTTAAAGTGAGAGTCATGGCTGTAAACCCCGACAGTGTGAATTTTGACCTCCTGCTATGGGGGATGGGCCGAGTGAAGCCTGGATGAAGTTGCCCCACCCCAGACCCTCCTGGGTGTCAGCCCAGGGAGTTCTGACTGGGTTTGAGCCCCTGGGGTTATCCCTTGCTGTGTTCCTGGTGGTCCCTGACCCTGAACTCCACCCTGGTTCTGTCCCTCAAAACCCATCACCTGCCTCTGTTCGGGGCTCTCTGTCTCTGGATCTGAGCTTGTTCCTGTGCTGAATAAATGGTTCCATGAACAGAAGCCCCTCTCGTTGGTGTTCCATGCTGGTTCCTGGTAACTGTAGCTTCTCTGGACATGATCCTGCAGGTGCAGACTGCAGCAAAACTCCATCTGGGTTATGGCAAATTCTTTTCCCTAAGTAACAACAGCTCCGAGTGTCCTGCTCTGAAGCTGAAGAAGTGAGGAGCCCCAGCTGCCCCTGCCCTCCCTTTTTCCTGCCCCCCTTCCCCCCTGGGCCCAGACAAACTCTGTTTTCTCAAGCACCCAATAAGTAGCAGCAGTCAGGTTTTCCTACAACTAATGGGGAAAATTCTATAAGTGAGAAGCAATAAAAGGAAGAGTACCTAACCCCCAACAATTTACTCTTAGAGAATGAAATGAAAACATTAATTTCTAAATAAACAGAAAAGTGATTTATTTCAGTCATGTTATTTGAAGTGTTATTTTCTTAATTGAATCTTAGTGTTCCTTGAGTCCTCAGCACATTAATTTGATCAGTCTAATAATTTTTTCTGCATTGATTGAAGCTTTGACCCTACAAACAGAAAAGAATGACTTTACTGACAGTAGTAGTATAATACAATTTAGTTGGAGGACCTAGAGTGCTAATTACCAGAAATTATTTTAAAAAAATATTAATTTCAAGAGCATTATACAAATTAGCTAATATTTTTTTAATAATTCATAAATATATAAGAATGTGCCTAATTTGACGAGTGATATGTGGTTAGTTATGAACATATCAAATTATCAATTTAATTATATCTGCAAATATTTTTTTCTGCAATAAAAATGTTTTACCTGAAAGTAAGGAATTGAGGTTGAAATAACCAAGAAAGAAAAGTAAAATTATTACTTCTGTCACAAGTCTGCTTTTTTATATGTTTATATATACCAATTGTTTATATGGTATATGGAAAAGTAAATCAAAAGAAAAAAAAACATAGATAATAAAATATATTTATTTCTTTTAAACAGCAGGGAACAAAAGCCTTACTGGAGTAGAGGATACCAAGTCTTTCTCATCTGCACAAATCTGCACAATCTTTTCAGCCTAAAATGCAATAAAGTTTTTCAAATATTTTTTTTCCTGGTAAATCCACATAAAATCTTCCAAATTGTCTTTTTTTAATTTACAAGTCTGGAAATGTGCTCCATGAGAAGATAGTCTGGGATTTTTCCAGGACATGAGGGATAGCTGACTGACTGAGATAAAAGGGAGGTCTCTGGATCCTCCCTTTTGCATTACTTAGGGATAACTGAGTCCAATATCATTATAGTTCTGATTACATGAGATCTTCCTTTGCTATGTGTTTTTTTTGTAGATGCTACACACAGACCTCACAATCACATCAGAATACTTTTTCCCCAATTTCAATTGAATTCCATCTGGCCTCATGGACATGAATGCATCCTTAACTTGCTGCTTTCCCACTTCTGTGATCAGACTTTATCTCTGAAAACAGAAAAAAAGTTCATGGAGTTGTTCAGCCTCTTCAACATCATCCACCATTAACTTCTCCCTCCCGTTTAGCAACAGATCCATCTCTTCCTTGAATTTTCTTTTCCTATGCCTATCTTGAACATTTCTTCCTCATTACATTTCATGACATTTTCTTATTTTAACTTCAGTACATCTTTGGCTTTTCTAATTTCATGCAGAAATATCCAAACAACAATTTTGTCCAAGGAATAGTTTCATGGTTCTTCTTTACTGTTTATAGCTTGTTTTTTTTCTAGTTCATGGATGTTTTTCAGTTTTTTGAAGCTCTTTATAAACAGGTGGAACTTTCTGGGGAAATCCTTGGTCTTCCTGACCTCTGAACTAGTTTACTCATTATTTTTCTCTCTCTCTTTAAATAGTATAAGCCATCTATCATAGGCACCTTTCTACTTCAGTGTATTCTGCCTTGTAATTCCTTAAGTAAACTGAAGACTGCTCTCTGGCAAAAGTCCAGAGTCTAAATGATACTGCTTGTTTTCCCAGATCCCTCCTCTAGATGTTGAATTCAATCAGTCCATAGTTGTGAAGTCCCAATTTGTGAGCACCAGGACAAGTAGCACGTTAGGGTAGTTAAGTCCTCTAGCCCTTGCCTTGGGAAATTATCTGTTCTACAAACCTCTTGAATTGCTCTCATAGTATTTTCTTCCCAGGAGATGATTGTATGTTTGACAATTCAAATAAAAACCAGGTTCTGAAATCATGAAACTTCTGATAGTTCTGTATAAAAAGCCACATCAATTGCCCTGTCTTGTGGAGGTTTATGATGGGTTCTTACCACAACACTGGTAAGTTAGTTATTAGTTATTCTCTGGTCTTGACATAAAAACTGTGTTTTAGGGGCTGCTTTACTCTCCTTATATTTTGCCACCTATCCTTTCTAAAATTTCTGACATTTTTTTTTTTTGAGAAAATGTTTTCCCCTCTTTCCTCTGTTTATATCTTTAAAGTGAAATCAATTATTTTTTGAAGCACAAGTTCTGACAGCAGTTTAACGAAGGAGAAGAAAAAAAAATAATTATCTTGTTATTTCATTATGAGTTACTGCCCTTTTGTTCATGCAAATAATGTGCTTATAATTATTAAATCTTCTAAGTTTCCCCATCTCATTGTCTGAAATGTGTTTTGGAGAGTTTTTTTCTATATTTTTGAGACAATAAAATGTAATAAATTACTAGGATTAACCTTTATGCAAGCAAAATAGTAGACCTTAGGAAAAAGCTTCTTTTTCTTTGGAGTCTTCAGATGTCTCAGAACTTCTGTTCCTTTTTATCCTTTGTGCTTCTTCTCCTTGTAGACCACAGCAATATAATATATAATTTGAACAGTTGCTTATGCTAATATCCTATTAACATAAATGAAACTCATCTACTGAATTTCCATAAGCAATGGTAGAACAGAATATAACCATGGAAACACCCAAGACTTCCCTTAGATATGCTTGCTTTAAAGCAACACAGATTTCCTCACTCATTTAGCTTTTCTCAGTATTCCCTTGTGCCATTTCTGTTCTTTGCAGCTTTATTTATATTACAAGTAGAGAGAATTGATAATGGGTAAAAAGATTTTAGATAGAGTATTTGTCACTTATGATTGAAGACTAAGGAATTAGATAATGAAAGATGCTATTTATACATTACTTTATTCATTATATAATTCAGAAATTAGGTATGTGATTTCATTATCATAAAATAATCTCTAAGAGTTGAGTATCTGTATAACAAAGCTTTAAACTTCAAGAAGAATTAAAACACTGGATTGTGCTGCTGTCTTTCAATCTGATGTTCTTCAGTCTATCACTCATAAAGCAATCTATTTGATACTTATAAGCTTTCTATTGTGGGATTTAAATTAATAACTCACCATCCACACTACTGTGAATACTATACTTGCTTCCTAGTCAATTACTCTTGTGGTGGGTTTTTTTCCACAGAAGAAAAGACCAGGTGTTGTCACCCATACATTTATTTCTGTTCAGCACTATTTGGTTTCATTGAAGGTAATTTTTAACATTAATTAAAGACCTGAAATTTCTAAACAACTGTGTGCAAATGCTTAGTACATTTCTATCAGAAAAGGCAATAGCATCATCCCCATTTTTAAAGGACTCAGATTGCAAAAGAAACATTTTAAATCAGTATTGAGCTCATCTCGTCTAAGCCCTGGTTAAATAAAAATAAAAAAATAAAAATAAAGCCATTTTTTCCTCTGTCAATTTTAAAAAAAGCTGATTGTGGAACTTGAATGCCAGTGTTAAAGACAGAAAATCCCAGAAAATGGGCAAACAAACTGTTTTGGCTATCACCATAATTAGTTTGTTTTAACAGGAAGATTCCAAATATCTTTTTAATTTATATTTGTTTAAACTGATATTTATTTTGCAGACTAGTTCAATCTAATTTCATTTTGTCCTTTGTCAGCTTTGTGATTTTAATCTAAGAATTCAGACATTTAGAAGCTCCTCCTTACCTTACTATAGATTGTTTTTGTATTATGCAAGCATAATTCCTTCTGTTTTCTCTACTTGTATCATGTTACATTTTTTTTTTTTTTTGCATTCTTTGCATTTCCACAAGTTAGATCTACCTTTCTATCTACATTATTCTTCTAGAAAAAGCATAGGTAAGAGGTGCAATTCTTCAGAAATTTTTACATAAAAACTTGTTAAATGCAGAATATTTCTGTAGTAGTTTCATCATATTATCTGCCTGTACACCCAAGGTTGCTATAAAGTCTTCTATTGTATTTTCAGCCTTTCATCCTATTAGAAAGTAGATACAGTTATGCTTCACA